GTGGAAAAATTAAAACACAGAAAGCACTGACACTAATTTCTGCTGACCGCAGACTGGAGGTTCAAATCCATCAGCCATTCCACAGCGGTGGGTAATGCCCAACCCACAGTCCACATAAGGCCTTGGAAATCATTTGATCTGGCCTTTTAAGGCAACTGCAGTTCCAGCCATCACACTTGTTGTTAAGTGCCATCAAGTCAGTTCCGATCCATAGTGACCCTGTATAGGGTTTCTGAGGAGCAGCTGGTGAGCTTGAACTGACGACCTTGCATTTCAAATGGCTTTGCAGTCTGCACATTAACCCACAGCGCCACACCAGGACTGTTTAGCCGTCACACTGTTGTTGTTGTGAAGTGCCACCGAGTCAATTCCGACCCATAGCGACCTGTATAGGGTTTCTGAAGAGCAGCTGGTAAGACTGAACTGCCGACCTTGCAATTCAAACAACTTTGCAGTCTGATGCATTAGCCCACAGCACCACACTAGGTGTCACACTGTTGTTGTTGTTAGGTTCCACTGAGTCAGTACCGACTCATAGCGACCTTATGCACAGCAGAACAAAACACTGCCCAATCCTGGGCCAACCTCACTACTGTTGCCACGCTTGAGTCCACTGATGCTGCCACCTGGCCAATCCATCTCATTGGGGGTCTTCATCTTTTTCTCTGACCCTCCACCTTACCCTGACCAAACATAGCAGGCTAATTTTTAAGTTGATAATTTTGTATGGTCTGTGAATTATGTTACAAGTTTTTGTAGAATAAAAGGTTCATCACCCCTGCTAGAGAGGGTCGACACGAGTCATAACGAACTCTATGGCACTTAACAACAACATTCCACAGTATGGATGAATCTTAGGAAAATTATTTTGAGCGACCAAAGTAAGTAAAAAATAAGTACATGTTGTGTGATTCCATTTATATGAAGGTCAAAAAGACAGTAAACTTATCTGTATGCATATTATAAGAAGTCCCAAGAGCAATTAATCTTGGAGGTGGGGACAAGTTGTAACCAGAAGAATGAGAGGGGCTCCTCGGATGCAGATTATGTTCAGTTTCTTGATTTTTAAGCTGGTTCAGTTATGAAATAGCTTAATATATACTCATAACATTGATGCATTTAAAAAATGTGATATTTCAATATAAATTTGTAAAACTAGAGGTGAAATGTATATTATTGTTTCTATGTTGGTTCGAAAAAAAATAATTTCAAAATGTATCAGGAATCCGAAAGCATTACCCTGTGAAAATTTAAAAATAATTGTCAGTAGAAGTTATAATGACTTTTACAGAGGAATTATTTAAGATATAAATATTTAAGCTATAACTGGTTTGAATTGCAAGGTCAGCAGTTCAAACTCATCAGCCACTCCTTGAAAAACCTATACAGCGTCACTGAGTCAGATCCTTATTTGATGGCACTTGACAAGAAGGTAACAAAGTTACAATGAACGTTACCATCCTTACACCAACCACTTGTTAAGCACCATCAATTTGGTTCTAATTCATAGCAACCCTATATATGGTTTCCAAGTAGCAGCTGGTGGGTTTGAACTGCTGACATTGTGGTTCACAGTCCAGTGCTGATCCTACAGTGCCACACCCAGAATCCAAATAACCATTTACTGGCCTTAAAATAATCATAATTCTTTTTTTTCTTTTTAAAGGCAAATTCAAATTTAAAATAATTCCTCAAAATTTTTGTCATTGATTATTATTGGTTTCTGTGGCCCTACACATTCAATGAAACTCTTGTGGCCTTACGCAACATTGTAAGGTGACTGGTTCAAATCCACCAATTGCTGTGGGAGAAAGTTAAGCCTGTGGTGCTTCCCCAAAAATTTAGTTTTAGGAGCCCTATATAGGGCTGATGTTGGGACAGAATTGGTATGAGGGCATGGGTATCTATAAAGAACTAAATGTCAATCTCATGTAAAATAATGAGCAAAATAATTTTTTTTTTTTTTTAAGTTTTTATGTTTGGGAACAATGTAGTACAAAAGAAACAAAATAACCAAAATATTTGTTTTAATTAAATTCTAAGAAATTAGAGAGTTAGTAAAGCTTTCTAATTGAAATGTTGTTATTATGTGCCGAGGAGTCGGTTCCGACTCATAGCGACCCTGTACAGGGTTTCCGAGGCTGTAAATCTTTAAGGGAGCAGAAAGCCTCATCTTTCTCCCGCGGAACCGCTGGTAGTTTCAAACTACTAACCGTGAGATTAGCAGCCCAATTCGTAACCACTGCGCTACCAGAGCTCCTTTCAAAATATGTTAATAAAACATTTAAATAGGAAAATAACCTAATTTCATTCTTAAAAATACTTTTAGAACTCTAGTAACTATCCTAATTGAAAGTAAAATTTAGTTTAAAGCTTCATGTGTAATTAATTTTGATTTTCATTTAAAAATTAAAAACTAGTTTGTTAGCTTACATAAAGTTTAGATTTCACTGCTAATTCAAAACATATTACTTAAAATTTCTCACAAGGAGCCTTGTTGTTGTTGTTATGTGCTGTGGAGTCGGTTCTGACTCATAGCGACCCTGTACAGGGTTTCCGAGGCTGCAAATCTTTACAGAAGCAGAAAGCCTCCTCTTTCTCCCGTGGAACAGCTGGTAGTTTTTAACTGCTGTCCCTGAGGTTCACAGCCCGATTCGTAACCACTACAAGGAGCCTTAAAGTATGCATTTCAAAAATCATGTCGTACAGAAGTAGGCTTACGTTTGTCTGGGGGGTGGGGGAAGTGGGAGAGTTTAAGAAACTCTTGACCATGAATTTTAAATATCCAAAAGACAAAGCTGGCATAATTTGAGGAAGAGTGAGACAAAAGTGGAAACAATGTTGAAAAATCATGACATAACTGAGTGACCTTACTAAAATAATTCTTACTCCATGCATGAGTTAAATAAAATTTACTTTTATTTAATTCAAGCACTATATACTTTAAGCTACATCTTTTTTTTTATTACTTTCAATTTTTAGTTGCTGAAATTAGATTGATTATATTAAAAATACTTTATTTCTATTTATTAAGAAAACCAACTTAAAGAAAATATCTGAAAGCAAAAAGTTCTATAAATATTTGCTAAATATTTAGCAAAAATCACTAAAATAATGAAAAAATGGTCTAACCTACAAAAAGGAAAACCCATCCAAAAAAATGAGCACTCTATGATCTGATGCTTTCAATATCCAATGTCTTCAGATACAGTTTAAGCTACATTTGTCAATATTTATAGTAACCCCTACATATTGAGATAATAAGTCATAATACAAATATATACTAGTACTCATTTAAATATTCAATTATTTTCATATAAAGGTTATTATTCTTTTTAAATATTTTAGGTTTTAAAGAAGCTGTTAAACAAGTGTTTGTAATGATATTTTCATCTTAGCCCAGAAAATGTTAAGTAATCTGCACATTAATTGAGGAATTTGTTTTCACAAATATCTAATATAAAGTTGATACAGACATATCAACAGTACTAGTAAATAAATGTATGTCCTAAGGTATTTCTTGTTAGATCAGAACATAAAATTGGCTCAAAGGCAATATCTGTTTTACAAATAAAAAAATTTTAAGTGAAATCCATCCTTTACACAACAGAAATGGCATGATAAATGTAAACTACACTGGAAAAAAATGAAACATTTCAAGAGACATTAACAATAATCATATTCAAATTTGATAATTCTAATTCAGGAACGGGTTCTATTATTTAATTAACTGAAACTTATTTTGCCTTTCTGTGTAACAAAGATTTTTAAATTTCTTTGAAAATGTGAACACTCACATTGTGAATTTTATCTTAAAACATATATTAAAGAAACATTCTTACTAAATGAAGGTATTTTAGATAAAATAGAATCTTTTTTATTATGTTGTTTTTCATAAATATCTAGAAAGCATATCCTATAAAAACAAGCTTATCAATTAGGATTTTTGTTGTTGTTGTTAAGTGTTGTCGAGTCGGTTCCAACCCATAGCGACCCTGTACAGGGTTTCCGAGGGTGTAAATCTTTACAGGAGTATAAAGCTTCATCTTTCCCCCACAGAGCGGCTGGTAGTTTCGAACCGCTGACCTTAAGGTTCACAGCCCGATTCGTAACCACTACGCTACCAGAGCTCCTTTATCATTTAGGATAAGAAAGCAAAAATCAAATAAAACAAACCAAATTAGAAATTATAGAAATATTTCACTAGAAAATAATTTCATATATTTAAAATTATTTCACACATTTAAAGAACTACTTCTTTCTTCCTATGTATCTATTTGAATTTCAAGAAATAAAATCTTCAAATAAAAGCAATCCAATATTCAATGAAAATGACAAAGGTCAAATCAATTTCCTCCTAAGCTTAGCTACCATTCCTGTCAACTATTCTAGCAGTATCCCATTGGTATACGTTTTTCAGTAGCTTGAAAACATATGGAATTCGTACTTAACATATAAATACTATGACTTTGACACTAACTGGTTTATATCTGACTTTGATATTATCTTGTAACTTTTTAAATATTTATATCTACTATATCAAAGAAGGTTGTTACGAATTGGACTGTGAACCTCATGGACAGCCGTTCGAAACTACCAGCTGTTCCACAGGACAAAGATGAGGCTTTCTGTACCCATAAAGATTTACAGCCTCAGAAACCCTGTACAGGGTTGCTATGAATAAAAACCAACTCCAAGGCACATAACCACTATACCAAAGGGGTGTACAAAGGGGCAATTTTCCTTATAGTTATATTATAGCCTCAATGTGGATTAAGAGTTATTACCCAAACAAAAGCTATTATTACCACAAAAAATACTATGAACACACTTCAGAGACAAAAAGAGATTTTTGGTATCTCAGATAAAGACAATGTAACTTGTTATTTTTTTTAATGATTTATATAAAATAGACCTGCAAAAGAGAGGCACATTTGAATTTTTTACCTTCTAAGATCATGAATTAAAATGAACATAACACTTTAACATACTACACTTACCAGCACATGGGAAGTTTCAGAAGTTTACCATAAAGAGCAGTGCTGAAAGAGGGAATAATTGGTACAGGTAAACAATAAGATCCACTACACTCCAAAGATGTCAGTCCTGCCTGGAAACCAAATATCTGAAACCAAAAGAAAAGATTCAAATGTTTACAGAGACAATGTTTTAATAAGCACAGGATGAAATACGTCAGTTTCAATTTGCTGTAGAACAGCTGCACACTAAATATGTTCCACTGTCTTTTCCACTTCCCAAACAATCAACATTTTTTTTATTATTCAATTTGACATTACTTAAATTAGAATTAAGAGAATTAAATACACAGCATTTGTTTCACATTCCTGAACAATCATTGCTCTTTCAAAATAATTTTAAGTTTGTATATTATTTCTACACATCATTCTCATTTAATATCTAATTATTAGCTAATGTACATCGTTTTCATGTATATAAAACAGCTCACTAAATTGTTCACATTTGCAAATATTCAATTTATTACTGTATCATTTTATGACTACATAAGCATTAACTACTAGAACAATTTAAAAAATGTATTCTGCTATCAAGTTGTATTATGCCTACACAACAAGTATCTCTAAATATATCCAAAAATGCTGTTATTTTCTCTTTCTTTTGTGGAAATTATTGTGGTGTTGAGGTTTTTACCCAAGCAAATTTGTAACATGGCATAAATTAGTCTTCATATGCTTACAACTTAAAATGAGCAGATCACACTGAAAAACTGTATAAAGCATTCTAAATTCCTAAACACTCTGTTTCCCTTAATAGGAAGAACAAAACAACACGTTTTAAATGAAAGACTGTGGAGAAGGGAATCTGATATTTTTCTCCAGTTATTTCTAGTAAGAGAGAAGATAAACATATTACACCAGAAAAGGTGACACAAAGAGATGCAAAATATTAAGTTATTGTTTTCCAATACGCAAAAATAGTTTAATCCCAACTTTTTATCTTCAGTTATTATTTTTTAGTACTTTATAAAGTACTGAATTCTAGATGTCTGTGGATTATTTAATAGTAACTGTAAAGATTTATCTTGAAACGTTTTAAATTTCTCATAATTTTCAAAATACTTTTATTTAATAAACATAAAATAATGACCAGTTTCCTAAAAGGTATTAGCTACTTGTTTTAAAAAAAATTACTATCCCCCTAACATTCATCATGCTGAAAATGTCAAATTCTTTATTCTATAATCAGTTTGGGGGGGGGGGCCAAAAAACTTTTTGGAAATAGGACGTTTCTAAGAATTACATTTCCAGAGAAAACTGCATTTTCAAAGAACCTATTTAATTAGTAACAAGGAAAATGAAAGTGATACACATATTAATTCCTACAAGTCCTACTATTTTTATTCACCAAGTGACAAGAGGTACAATGCAAAAGAACGTATACTCCTAATATTAAAGGATCGACTATAACAATTAATTTACTCAGTTTCCTATTTTTGAAGGCATATTCTGAGCCCCCTGTATTATGTGAAGAGCTGCGCTAGCACTGTCCTAAAATAAATTTTAGCTAAAATAAATTTTAGCATTTATTTCCTCTGAAAAACCTGATAAAGAATTCACTCAAAACAAAATGACTCTTAAATCAATACGCAATCACTTTCAAGTATTTCTAGACTTATAAATTCAACTAATCTTTTATTTCAGTAGATTATCTATGTTCCACTAAAAACTCTCTCAAAGCTACCTTCTACTATTTTATAAACTTTCCAGTAGTATAACTATAAGGCACTATCATTAATTGTACTCAGGATGGAAAAGATCCCCTATTGGTTGTCTGTGGAACTTTACAAAGGTCTTTGGAGAAGCTGCATCTTCTGTAATTTGAAAAAAAAACAACACAACTTTTCATTACACTGACATATTGAATAGAGATGATTCCAAAGGAACATTAAAAAGGTGTTATTTATAAGAGAAGGGGGGAGTTATCTAGCAAAGAAATTATCCCCACTGAGTCGGTTCCAGTTCATAACAATCCTTTAGAGGGTTTCCAAGGAGCAGCTGGTGGGTTTGAAGCTCCAACCATGTGGCTGCAGTCGAAGGCTTATGTTACAGCACCACATCAGGATGACATTTAAGTATGCTATCATACTACTATCTACCCCTACTAAAAGCAACTATTCAACAATAACAAATTTTCAACTCTCTGAATCACCGCAATGAGATATATAGATTCACAATACCTATATAAGCACTGGTAACATAGTGGTTACAAATCGGGCTGCGAACCACCAGGTCAGCAGTTCAAAACTACCAACTGCTCCGCGGAAGAAAGATGAGGCGTTCTGCTCCCGTAAAGAATAACAGCCTCGGAAACCCTGTGCAGGGTCGCTATGAGTCGGAACCGACACCATGGCACATAACAACAACAACAACATATAACCAAATAATTTGCTAACAGCTCTTGACTAACATTATAATTTATTTAGAAAGAGAATTAACAAGTACAGTATTAAGTGAGGTGTCATTCTAAAGACAGTTCATGTATTTAAAAAATAGAATGAAAGTACTAGTATCAAGTCGCACAGGCGCGTGCGGAGGAGGCGGAACCCGCCATAAAATAGCTCCAGAGGTTCCATGAAGCTGACAAAACCCATAGATGCAGCTTTACAGCTTCTTCTGATGTCTGGGGCCGAAGTCCCAGAGAGAGAGATTGATCCCCCCAGCATAGGTGACCAGTCATAATGAAGAAAATTAGTCTCAAGACCTTCCAAAAGTCTTTTCACTTGAATAAAAGCCAAGAAGAAACCGATTTCATGGTTGTGCAACAGCCGTCGCTTGCCAGTGACTTTGGAAGAGACGAGTCCCTATTTGGGAGCTGCTACGGAAAAGAGATGGCTACCTGTGACATCCACGTCGAAGACGACAAGGAGTTAAGAACCGATCCAAGAGCGAAAGCCTCATGGGTATGCTGAAGAGGCGGCTCTTGGCCATGCAGAAGCTGAGGGGCAAGGGCTCCGAGCTGTCTGGGAGCTCCGCAGACGAGGACACCTTCTCCTCTTCCTCGGCCCCCATAGTCTGTAAGGAGGTCCTGCCGCAGAGGCCCCTGCGCTCTATGTAGCACCGCAACCACCACTATGTCCCACGGCCTCGGAGGAGACATGCATCAAGATGGTGGTGAGGTTCAAAGCCCTGGTCCACTCGTTCAGCCCCAGCCCAGGGCTCAATGGCGTCCGCAAGGGCTTCCCTGAGCTGCAGCCGGGATCCATGTGCCAGGCGCAGAACAGCCCCCAGAAGAGCGCTGATGTGCACCCCAGGGACCTGCACCTGGCCGAACTTGTGCCTGTCGTCATAGGACTCGGGCCTCAGAACTACATCCTGTGCCTTTAGACGAGGGCAGTAGCCTCGGAGCTAGTGTCTAGACAGCTTCTCCCCCATGGAAGTCTCCACCGAGTCCCCACCAGGGGGAGGGAGCGTCTTCCAGGAAGAGGAGGGCCAGGTGGTACAGGTGGACCAGGAGCTGGGCACGGACCCTAACGTCTTTGTGGAGCCGCCAGTGAACGGCCTGCTGATGGGCACTACGGGGTTCCTGCTGCAGACCCCCCAGCACCAGGCGTGAGGACGGCTCCTCACTCTCACCTTTGCTACCCCCGATGTAGAACCATCAATTCCAAAGGAACTTCAGCGGTCTCCCAGGCGCTGACGTCCACGTGTCTGAAAGTGTGCGCTGCCATTTGAATTTTGACCCCAACTCTGCCCCTGGGGTGGCACGAGTCTACGACTCAGTGCAGAGCAGCGGGCCCATGGTGGTGACCAGCCTAACCAAGGAGCTTAAGAAACTGGATAAACAAGTATGGTACTGGGACCCCATCACGCTCTGGGAGGCCAAGGGCAAGCTGGTCAACGTGCCGGACGGCTCCTTCCTGGTCCGGGACACCTCCGACGACCGCTACCTTCTCAGCCTGAGCTTCAGCTCCCACGGCAAGACGCTGGAAACCAGGATCGAGCACTCCAACGGGAAGTTCAGTTTCTACTAGCAGCCCGACATGGAAGGTGCCGTCCATCTATCGTCGACCTCATGGAACATTCGATCCGGGACTCGGAAAACGGAGCCTTCTGCTACTCGAGGTCCTGGCTGCCCAGCTCAGCCACCTACCCGGTCAGGCTGACCAACCCAGTGTCTAGGTTCATGCAGGTCCGCTCCCTGCAGTACCTGTGCCGTTTCATGATCCGGCAGTACACCAGAATAGATCTGATCCAGAAACTGCCTTTGCCGAACAAAATGAAGGACTATCTCCAGGAGAAGCACTACTGAAAGATGGGGGCCCTGCACCCTGCACTTTGGGGACAACAGCACGACCAGAACCGTTTACAAATGTTTTCTTGCTATCCAAACTCTCTTGCTGCCATACCGATTTCAGTTTTCTGTGTACAAGGTTCACCCCCTTGGCTAGAGGGGTGGGGAAGTGTGTCGGCCAACTCTCTTGGGCTTGTTTCGGTTCTCTCAAAGGGGAAGTCTGGAAGGTTTCCAAGTGTGAATTGTCTTTCCTCAGTGTGCAGAATAATCACAATGTGAATGATCAGATAGATTCTCCTTAGTCAGTTCCCCAAGCCCTCCCAATCCTCTGCTACTATCCACTGTGATTTTTATGCATTAAAAGCACATTGTATATTCAGCCCTAAGTAAAGTTGGCTGAAAACGTATAGAATGAACAAATATCTTGTCTCTCTCAGCAGCCCAATTTCAAAAGGTAGTTTTCGAGAAGCATTCATGACCAATGGGATAAGACCTAGAATTTTACTTGTACCCTGAATATGATTTCTGCAACTTCATACCTTAAAATGATTGATTTGGAATTGAGAGCCCACATCTTCTTGGGTACTAGAAGGCAGAGCTGCCACTTGGCTTTTACACTCATTTCTAAATTTTTTTTATGATTGTACTGATTTTAGGGGTTGTGAAAAGTTGACTAGTTTTTCTGTTGCCTTCATTTTCATCTTGTGGTTTGTCTATGTTTTAAAAATGGGCTTACATTAAAAATTCTTAAAGAAATGTATACCACCACAAAAAAAAAAAAAAGTACTAACGGTCTCAATTTGTAAGTAGGTGCAATTACTGATTGACATTTCCTTCAGCTAAAACTTCTGAGTA